TTTTCGTTGATGCATCTTATTGTTTTTTTGTTCTCAGTATAAACTATGAGATAATAAACAGGACTCGTATAGAAACGTAAAAAGAATGTTATTTAAATTAATTTTGAAACGAAAACTCTTAATATTTCTCTCTCATGTTTCAGTATGCAATCTTCTGAAGCCAATGTAATAAAAGATCTTGTCAAGGACGATATCCCAGTTGATGCTAAAAAGTAAAAACGTTATTATTAATTTATACTACACTATTTCACACATACACCCACACACCCATACACACACATACAAACATTAACATGTTACCTGGGTTTATTGGCACTAAATTAGCAGATTTTTCTTAATACAATTAAGGCACATGGTAGAATATTTAGTACATGCACTGATGTATTTCAAAGTCTCACCGCCACCTTACATAATTTGTTAGCCACTTCTTGATTACTAGAAGATCGGTAGGTGCATCATAACACCATCGACATCTAAATCGACATCTGAAAAATGTTCAATTAGCATTATTCATAAAAGGTGAAACTTACTTACTTACATGAAACTAAAAATAATATACTTTTGATCTAGAGCTGACGCAATACAATATCTTGACAGGGAAGCTATAAAGTAAAAACAGTATTATTAAATTACTGAACTATTTCACACCCATCTAAGTAAATATATTCTTCCTAACTACTGCGTGAGTTATGTTAGAAATGTTACCTGGTTAATTGGTACTTCGAAATGGTACATATCAAGATGGTATTTTGATAATCTGGTTGAATTTGTTCCAATCCGAGATGTACGTAACAATTAAATGGAGTTTTAACTAACTAATACATTAGTTAGTTGCTTTTATATTTCACCGAATTCTATGTAAAATAACCTAAAAATTAAAAAATGTTATTGAACATTTCAACAACAAAGATAATGCTTAGAAGTAAAATGAATACATATTTACATCGCAACAAAGGAGGATTTGTAAACCGTTACTAAAAGATCCATTAGGTTTATTAAATAACCTCTCGATTTACTTCTGCAGAACACAGCAATACATATAATCGAAATTCTCTGGATCAGTGTTCCTGGTATGTATGTTCTATATCTATTGGAGTTGTAACAATCGTAAATTCATTAACTTAACATTTCGTATAAGATTCATCATCCTGGAAATAACCAATATTAATTATGTATTAATAGTATAATATGCATTAGTAATACTGAACAACATTTTATACTTACTATTTCAACTCTTCAATTGGTTTGTTAATTGGTATGTTAAAGTTTTTCTACAATGTCTTCTTTGATTGGACAGTTCTACTTTCTTTCGAAATACTACGATGGTGAAGTTTAAGCGTGTTTGTTTTACAAACTTAATTAAAGAAAAACTTAGGTAGGCCTCCTGATCAGCGATTAGGGCATCTTGTCTTCTTATTGATGAATTTCTTACATCTTATGTAAACGTTGTTCTTTACTTTACCTTGTAATCCTAAATTAAAGGAAATTGTAGTTGTTATATTAATAGTGAACAGTTCTAACGCCGAAATCTTACCTACTATTGTAGTTCTCCTAGTTTTCCATTATTATCTAAGTTGTTCTTTAGTTAAATTGGTATAATTTTGTATCACAACTGTTTTGTTTATGTTAGGAGTTTTGTTAAAATTCGCACAAGTCGACATGTCAGTAATGTCAATTGCCAAATAAGTCATTGTCATTAATCATTAAGTAAAAAAGAAGATTTAACATCAAGCAAATGTACAAAAAGGGCTGAATTACTCCATAGGCAAAGCCTAAATCTTTTCGAAGGATATAAGTCATTTGTTATCATAATGTTAGTTTGAGATGTAAACAAATCGTCTCACAGACTACCATAGAAGAACAATATGTAGACTAATTACTAATTAGTTGGGAAACTATCACGAATTTTTGTGACTCGAAAATGTGCTGCCATCTAACACATTCACACAGAACTTAAGAAATTGAAAAACAGGATTTTTTTTTATTTTTATGGCATTTATGAGGCGGAAATTTTAAAATTATCGTAGAATTGAATGAATTGAACTGCAATAAATGAACCACATATAATTGGCGAATATTGTTTAATTACTTAAACTCTATCTTATTAAATTAGATTTTATCTAGAATCCAATTAAGAAGATTCTATCACGATTTTTTGTGACTCGCACAGAAGTGACTCGAAAATGTGCTGCCATCTCCGTACTGAATTCGTAAGTCATTAATAAAATGTCTTAGTCTAACGAAATATTCGATTACATTTATGCTTAATAAATCCTTTAAAAATTAATAAAGTAATGAATGATATATTGTTTGGCAAAAAAGAAATATTAGATATCGAATGTGTGAAGTTAGAAACCTAACTTCAGTTCTCAATAGTTCTGATTAAAAAAATCACTTGTATTTTTTTGCATGAAGTGATTTTTGAGATTTTTGAAGTTGGGTTTCTAACTTCACTCTTTGATTTCGACTATTTTTTTTATTTTTAGGGCCGACAAAGGAAAATCAGGAGAGAAATTATAAATAGAAATGAAAATAAAGGATCACAAATAATTTTAAAGCAAATTTTTTTTATGTCAAATACATTCGTTCAGAGTATAAGGCAGCGGCCAAAACCGCGGTACTAAAGGCAAGGCCGTCAGGCCTTGCCTTTGGGCCGCGGGGGGGTTGAAAGGGGGCGCAGCCCCCTTTCCGAGCAAAAGCGAGTCTTATATATACTAAAACCCCAGGCGTCATCCTATTCATTGGCGAGATTTATTCTTTTTGAATTATTCGGGGACGGAGAGGGGTGTAGGAAGATGAAAACGGACCCGCCGATTACGAAAATGACCTTCTTTTCCCCGGCTAAATTCGTTTTCGCTCGCAATCGCGATTTGAAAATGAAAATTGTCGGCCATGTTGAAATTTTTTGATGTGTACGTAATTTTGTGTCATTTTTCGTACTTTCGCGTGGATCCGAATTTTGCCGAACCTTCACTCGGCGAACCGATCTTCGAGAAATTTTCAAATTACACAATTATATCTAAGAAAATGAATAAAAAATCGTTTCTACAGGCGTTTTATTGAATAATTTGTAAAAATAAAGGAGAATAAATAACCAGCTAAAAAAATTTCGTCGAGAAATTTGAATATGTCAACAGTGTCATTTGAAACTGCCGACGGGACGGGTCGCTTGCGCTTCGATCCGCCTAATTTCGCATTTTTAATGGATTTTCAGCGTTAAATTCAAGGTAAGTGAGCTTATTTGACGATTTAATACCTCTACAAACAATCTTCTACGATATTTAAATGGTCCCGAATAAGATATAACCCATTTAAAAATTGCAAGGTTAAGTTGCATAAAGCCGTTTATTAAGCAGATTATTTTACTTTTTAGAGGACCTGCAGCCTATATTTGACCGAAAATACCTAACTGAAGATGAAAAGAAGGTCCCAGTAAGCATATTGTGGTAAATTCCGTCTATTATTAGTCAAAATTTGGATTCGAAGAATGGTCTACGTGAGAAAATCCTACCTCAATACATGGTGTTACATTTAGAGGAATACCACTTTATAAATGTAAGAACCATTTCCAGAGTATGGATATGTCGAAAGAAGACTAAATAGTCGTCATTTTAAAGAAAAAAACGTAAAAAATCGGTCAAGAATCACCGAAGAAGATTCATAGGCCTTTTACCATTCGGGTCAGTGTCTACATGAACCTTACGATACCTACGTAAATGTAAGTAAATGAATAAAAAATCGTTTCAGCAACCTTTTTTGTTGAAAAATCTGTAAAAATAAACAAGATTAAGTTAAATAATCCGTTTAAAATTCGTCTAGAAATTTGGAAATGGAAAATGCCAAAACCGTCAAGTGTCAACAGTGTCATTTGAAACTACCGTCGAAAAGGACACTTTCGCTTCGATCCGTTTAATTTCGCATTTTTAATGGATTTTCAGCGTTAAATTCAAGGTAAGTGAGCTTATTTGACGATATTAATACCTTTACAAACAATCTACAATATTTAAATGGTCCCGTACAAGAAATAACCCATTTAAAACATTGTAGGTTAAGTTTCATAAAGCCGCTTTTTAACCAAATTATTCTACTTTTTAGAAGACCTGCAGCCTATATTTGACCGAAAATACCTAACTGAAGTTGAGAAAAAGGACCCAGTAAGCATATTGTGACAAAGTCCCTTGATTATTAGTCAATATTTGGATTCGAAGAATGGTCTACGTAGAAAATCCTACCTCAATACATGGTGTTACATTTGGAGGAATACCACTTTTTGGGTGTAAATACAGTTTCCAGAGTATGGAAAAGCCGAAAGAGGACTAAGTAAGCGTCGTTTTAAAGAAAAAATGTTAAAAATCGGTCAAGAAATAACGGAGAAATGAAACCTAACATTTTTTCCTTCGTTCGAAGAACTACTTGGGTTACTTTTATTCAAAAGTATAAGCTGCTTAAATCGTAAGTACTTGATAAAATGTTCTATTAGCACATAATATCGTTCGATTAAGATTGTTTTATACGAAAATCGTAGAAATTTATTGATATTTAACAAAGTATCGAATGATTTTTTGTTACCCGTAGAATAAAAAGGAACATTTATTACTTATAATTTCACCTTATTTTGCAGGATTGACACTGAAAAATAGGAAGTAAATGACTACTAGAAACGTAAAGCAAACCACCAACAACAATTAGGGCAATATTTTGGATTTTTTCTACGATTTTTACCATTCTTCGAAACATCTTTTACTTCGATCGGAGTATCTTCGGGTACCCAAATAATGTGTTTAAAACGTAAGTACTTACTAATAATGTGTTAACAGGACAAAATATCATTCAAATACAATTATTTGAAACAGAAATCATTAAAATTGGTTGAAAAATAACTTGGTAACGAATGATTTTTTGTTATCAGTAAAATTAAAAAGGGTAAATTTGAGTAATTTAGAGTTTCATTGTATTATTTACCGTTTTCTACCTTTAATCAGAATGCTTTTACCTTTAAAATGAATACTGAAAAGGTAAGAATTAAATTATCTTTGATAATGAACCTTTTTTTAATGATTCTTTTTTAATTTTTTCAGGATTATGAAGCTATTTTGACCGTTTTGTTCCGTTTTCAAGACTACTCTGTCCTTAAAATGAATACTGAAAAGGTAAGAATTAAATTTTCTATGGGAATGAACCCATTTTTAATGATTCTTTTTCTATTTTTCAGGATTATAAAGCTGTTTCATGCCTTATGAGAGAGGATTAGAACTCGATATGACTAGCAATGCAGTCAATTTGGATAATTTGGAGAGCTTCTTTGGAATTTTGACAGTTTTCTTTCGTTTTCAAGACTATTATGTCTTCAAAATGAATACTGAAAAGGTAAGAATTGAATTTTCTATGAGAATAAACCCATTTTTAATGATTTTTATTCTATTTTTCAGGATTATAATGCTGTTTCAAGCCTTATGAGAGAGGATTAGAACTCGATATGACTAGCAATGCAGTCAATTTGGATAATTTGGAGAGCTTCTTTGGAATTTTGACAGTTTTCTTTCGTTTTCAAGACTATTATGTCTTCAAAATGAATACTGAAAAGGTAAGAATTGAATTTTCTATGGGAAGGAACCCATTTTTAATGATTTTTATTCTATTTTTAGCATTATTCAGCTGTTTCAAGCCTTATGAGAGAGGATTAGAACTCGATATGACTAACAATACAGTCAATTTGGATAATTTGGAGAGTTTCCTTGAAATTTCGACCGTTTTCTTCCGTTTTCAAGACTATTATGTCTTCAAAATGAATACTAAAAAGGTAAGAATTGAATTTTCTATGGGAAGGAACCCATTTTTAATGATTTTTATTCTATTTTTCAGGATTATTCAGCGTTTTCAAGCCTTATGAGAGAGGATTAGAACTCGATATGACTAACAATACAGTCAATTTGGATAATTTGGAGAGTTTCCTTGAAATTTCGACCGTTTTCTTCCGTTTTCAAGACTATTATGTCTTCAAAATGAATACTAAAAAGGTAAGAATTGAATTTTCTATGGGAAGGAACCCATTTTTAATGATTTTTATTCTATTTTTCAGGATTATTCAGCTGTTTCAAGCCTTATGAGAGAGGATTCGAACTCGATATGACTAGCAATACAGTCAATTTGGATAATTTGGAGAGTTTCCTTGGAATTTCGACAGTTTTCTTCCTTTTCAAGACTATTATGTTTTCAAAATGAATACTAAAAAGGTAAGAATTGAATTTTCTATTAGAATGAACCCATTTTTAATGATTCTTTTTCTATTTTTCAGGATTATGAAGCTATTTTGAACATTTTGTTCGGTTTTCAAGACTACTCTGTCCTTAAAATGAATACTAAAAAGGTAAGAATTGAATTTTCAATAAGAATAAACCCATTTTTAATTATTTTTTTTCTATTTTTCAGGATTATTCAGCTGTTTCAAGCCTTATGAGAGAGGATTCGAACTCGATATGACTAGCAATACAGTCAAATTGGATAATTTGGAGAGTTTCCTTTGAATTTCGACCGTTTTCATCCGTTTTCAAGATTATTTTGTCTTCAAAATGAATACTAAAAAGGTAAGAATTAAATTTTCTATGGGAATGAACCCATTTTTAATGTTTTTTTTTTCTATTTTTCAGGATTATTCAGCTGTTTCAAGCCTTATGAGAGAGGATTCGAACTCGATATGACTAGCAATACAGTCAATTTGGATAATTTGGAGAGTTTCCTTTGAATTTCGACCGTTTTCATCCGTTTTCAAGACTATTATGTCTTCAAAATGAATACTAAAAAGGTAAGAATTGAATTTTCTATAAGAATAAACCCATTTTTAATGTTTTTTTTTTCTATTTTTCAGGATTATAATGCTGTTTCAAGCCTTATGAGAGAGGATTCGAACTCGATATGACTAGCAATACAGTCAATTTGGATAATTTGGAGAGTTTCCTTTGAATTTCGACCGTTTTCATCCGTTTTCAAGACTATTATGTCTTCAAAATAAATACTAAAAAGGTAAGAATTGAATTTTCTATAAGAATAAACCCATTTTTAATGTTTTTTTTTTCTATTTTTCAGGATTATAATGCTGTTTCAAGCCTTATGAGAGAGGATTCGAACTCGATATGACTAACAATACAGTCAATTTGGATAATTTGGAGAGTTTCCTTTGAATTTCGACCGTTTTCATCCGTTTTCAAGACTATTATGTCTTTAAAATGAATACTAAAAAGGTAAGAATTGAATTTTCTATAAGAATAAACCCATTTTTAATGTTTTTTTATTCTATTTTTCAGGATTATTCAGCTGTTTCAAGCCTTATGAGAGAGGATTCGAACTCGATATGACTAGCAATACAGTCAATTTGGATAATTTGGAGAGTTTCCTTGGAATTTCGACAGTTTTCTTCCTTTTCAAGACTATTATGTTTTCAAAATGAATACTAAAAAGGTAAGAATTGAATTTTCTATTAGAATGAACCCATTTTTAATGATTCTTTTTCTATTTTTCAGGATTATGAAGCTATTTTGAACATTTTGTTCGGTTTTCAAGACTACTCTGTCCTTAAAATGAATACTAAAAAGGTAAGAATTGAATTTTCAATAAGAATGAACCCATTTTTAATGTTTTTTTTTCTATTTTTCAGGATTATTCAGCTGTTTCAAGCCTTATGAGAGAGGATTCGAACTCGATATGACTAGCAATACAGTCAATTTGGATAATTTGGAGAGTTTCCTTGGAATTTTGACCGTTTTCTTCCGTTTTCAAGACTATTATGTCTTCAAAATGAATACTAAAAAGGTAAGAATTGAATTTTCTATTAGAATAAACCCATTTTTAATGTTTTTTTATTCTATTTTTCAGGATTATTCAGCTGTTTCAAGCCTTATGAGAGAGGATTCGAACTCGATATGACTAGCAATACAGTCAATTTGGATAATTTGGAGAGTTTCCTTGGAATTTCGACAGTTTTCTTCCATTTTCAAGACTATTATGTCTTCAAAATGAATACTAAAAAGGTAAGAATTGAATTTTCTATAAGAATAAATCCATTTTTAATGTTTTTTTTTCTATTTTTCAGGATTATAATGCTGTTTCAAGCCTTATGAGTGAGCATTAGAACTCGATGTGACTAGCAATACAGTCAATTTGGATAATTTGGAGAGTTTCCTTTGAATTTCGACAGTTTTCTTCCATTTTCAAGACTATTATGTCTTCAAAATGAATACTAAAAAGGTAAGAATTAAATTTTCTATGGGAATGAACCCATTTTTAATGTTTTTTTTTTCTATTTTTCAGGATTATTCAGCTGTTTCATGCCTTATGAGAGAGGATTCGAACTCGATATGACTAGCAATACAGTCAATTTGGATAATTTGGAGAGTTTCCTTGGAATTTTGACCGTTTTCTTCCGTTTTCAAGACTATTATGTCTTTAAAATGAATACTAAAAAGGTAAGAATTGAATTTTCTATTAGAATAAACCCATTTTTAATGTTTTTTTATTCTATTTTTCAGGATTATTCAGCTGTTTCAAGCTTTATGAGAGAGGATTCGAACTCGATATGACTAGCAATACAGTCAATTTGGATAATTTGGAGAGTTTCCTTTTAATTTCGACAGTTTTCTTCCATTTTCAAGACTATTATGTCTTCAAAATGAATACTAAAAAGGTAAGAATTGAATTTTCTATAAGAATAAATCCATTTTTAATGTTTTTTTTTTCTATTTTTCAGGATTATAAAGCTGTTTCAAGCCTTATGAGAGAGGATTCGAACTCGATATGACTAGCAATACAGTCAATTTGGATAATTTGGAGAGTTTCTTTTGAATTTCGACAGTTTTCTTCCATTTTCAAGACTATTATGTCTTCAAAATGAATACTGAAAAGGTAAGAATTGAATTTTCTATAAGAATAAATCCATTTTTAATGTTTTTTTTTCTATTTTTCAGGATTATAAAGCTGTTTCAAGCCTTATGAGAGAGGATTCGAACTCGATATGACTAGCAATACAGTCAATTTGGATAATTTGGAGAGTTTCCTTTGAATTTCGACAGTTTTCTTCCATTTTCAAGACTATTATGTCTTCAAAATGAATACTGAAAAGGTAAGAATTGAATTTTCTATAAGAATAAATCCATTTTTAATGTTTTTTTTTCTATTTTTCAGGATTATAAAGCTGTTTCAAGCCTTATGAGAGAGGAATCGAACTCGATATGACTAGCAATACAGTCAATTTGGATAATTTGGAGAGTTTCTTTTGAATTTCGACAGTTTTCTTCCATTTTCAAGACTATTATGTCTTCAAAATGAATACTAAAAAGGTAAGAATTGAATTTTCTATAAGAATAAATCCATTTTTAATGTTTTTTTTTCTATTTTTCAGGATTATTCAGCTGTTTCAAGTCTTATGAGAGAGGATTCGAACTCGATATGACTAGCAATACAGTCAATTTGGATAATTTGGAGAGTTTCTTTTGAATTTCGACAGTTTTCTTCCATTTCCAAGACTATTATGTCTTCAAAATGAATACTAAAAAGGTAAGAATTGAATTTTCTATAAGAATAAACCCATTTTTAATGATTCTTTTTCTATTTTTCAGGATTATAAAGCTGTTTCAAGCCTTATGAGAGAGGATTAGAACTCGATATGACTAACAATACAGTCAATTTGGATAATTTGGAGAGTTTCCTTGGAATTTCGACCATTTTCTTCCGTTTTCAAGACTATTATGTCTTCAAAATGAATACTAAAAAGGTAAGAATTTAATTTTCTATAAGAATAAACCCATTTTTAATGTTTTTTTTTCTATTTTTCAGGATTATAAAGCTGTTTCAAGCCTTATGAGAGAGGATTAGAACGTGAAAAGGTTATCCATATAGCTAATTTGGACAATTTGAAGAGTTTCTTTGGAATTTCGACCGTTTTCTTCTGTTTTCAAGACTATTATATCTTCAAAATGAATACTAAAAAGGTAAGAATTGAATTTTCCATAAGAATGAACCCATTTTTAATGATTCCTTTTCTATTTTTCAGGATTATAATGCTGTTTCAAGCCTTATGAGAGAGGATTAGAACTCAATATGACTAACAATACAGTCAATTTGAATAATTTGGAGTGTTTCCTTGGAATTTTGAACTTTTTCTTCCGTTTTCAAGACTATGTCTTCAAAATGAATACTGAAAAGGTAAGAATTGAATTTTCTATAAGAATAAACCCATTTTTAATGATTCCTTCTATTTTTCAGGAATATAATGCTGTTTCAAGCCTTATGAGAGAGGATTAGAACTCGATATGACTATCAATACAGTCAATTTGGATAATTTGGAGAGTTTCTTTGGAATTTCGACCGTTTTCTTCCGTTTTCAAGACTATGTCTTCAAAATGAATTCAAAAAAGGTAAAAATTAAATTTCCTATGGGAATGAACCCATTTTTAATTATTTTTTGTTCTATTTTTCAGGATTCTGAAGCCGTTTCAAGCTTTAATTATCTATTAGAGGGAGCCAACCCAACTTTAAAGACATTTTGGAATTCTGTAATCTCTACGGTCTTTTACAACTTAGTCAAGACACCTGGGGATAGCAGGATTTTCGCTCGCTACATTCGCTCTAATTGATTCCTTTACCAGAAGATCGATGTCCTTGCGGTTTTTTACGACAGTTCATGACGAACTGGATCCGTTCTGAACGATTCTAGGCAGTTCTAAATGATTCTAAAGCGTTGTAAATCATTCTGGAGCATTATAAATGTTTGTAGAACGTTCTAAATTATTATAGATTGTTCTAAATGATTCTGAAACATTGTAAATAATTCTAAGACGTTCTATATAGGTTTAAACAGTTCAAAAGGATTCTGAAATATTGTAAATGATACTAGAGCATTCTAATTGATTCTAATACATTCTATGTCGGTTTAAATAGTTCTAAAAGATTCTGAAGTGTTTTAAATGATTCTGAACTGTTCTAAATGATTGTAGAACGTTCTAAATGATTGTAGAACGTTCTAAATTATTCTGAACAGTTCTAAATGATTCTGAAATATTGTAATTATTACTGGAGCATTCTAAATGATTCTAAAACGGTATAAGAAAGGGTTTAAACAGTTCTGAAGGATTTTGAAGTGTTCTAAATAATTCTGAACAGTTCTAAATGATTCTGAAATATTGTAAATGATACTGGAGCATTCTAATTGATTCTAAAACATTTTATGAGTTTAAACAGGTCTAAAAGATTCTAAATAATTCTAAACAATTCTAAATGATTCTGAAACATTGTAAAAGATTCTGCAGCGTTCTAAATGATTGTAGAACGTTCTACATTATGCAAAAGCTTTGTATATGATTCTAGAGCATCCTAAATGGTTTTAGATAGTTCTAAATGATTGTAGAGGGTTCTAATGGTTCTAGAACGTTCTAAATGATCTATACAGTTTTAAATGATTCTGAAGCGTTGTAAATGATTCCAAGGGATTCTTAATGATTCTAGAATGTTTTAAATAGTTTTAGACAGTTCTAAATGATTTAAAAAAATATTTATTATCAGATTCTTTTTGATTTTTGTCATCGAGCATTTAATATAAACGTATGTATAAATGCATATTTCGAAGTTTTCTTTTACCTTTTACCAAAATGCTTTCCTTCAAAGTGAATACTGAAAAAAAAAGTATTGAATGTTCTATGAAAATGTACCCATTTCTAATTGTATTTATTATTTTTTTAGGATTCTGTAACTGTTTTAAACGTGAGAGGATTGGAACGTGTTAGGACTATTCATAGAGTTAATTAGGAAATTTTGGAGAGTATTCTACACCGGCAATTTGATGACTTTGTGGCCTTTTACTACTTTGACATTTGGGGAACATGATCTTCGCTCGCTTAGTGAAGGGTAAATATTAAAATTACCTATGAGAGAGAAGCCTACCATAACTACTTGGGATGCTCGTCATCCGCTTCACTCGCTCGGTTTAAAGGTATAATTTGATTTATCTGTAGGAAAGTTTTTTAGTAACGTGGGCAGTTTTTTCATTAGATTTCATAAGCCTCTTACTTTTCGGGTCAGTGACCAAAACCGCGGTACGAAAGACAAGGCCGGTAGGCCTTGGCTTTGTGCCGCGGGGGGGTTGAAAGGGGGCGAAGCCCCCTTTCCGAGCTTTCAGCGAGTCTTATATATACTAAAACCCCAGGCGACATCCTATTCATTGGCGAGATTTATTCTTTTTGAATTATTCGGGGACGGAGAGGGGTGTAGGAAGATGAAAACGGACCCGCTGATTACGAAAATGACCGTCTTTTTCCCGGCTAAATTCGTTTTCGCTCGCAATCGCGATTTGAAAATGAAAATTGTCGGCCATGTTGAAATTTTTTGAAGTGTACGTAATTTTGTGTCATTTTTCGTTCTTTCGCGTGGATCCGAATTTTGCCGAACCTGCACTCGGCGAACCGATCTTCGAGAAATTTTCAAATTACTTGAGTAAATGAATAAAAAATCGTTTCTACGAGCGTTTTATTGAATAATTTGTAAAAATAAACGAAAATAAATAACCAGCTAAAAAATTTTCGTCGAGAAATTTGAATATGTCAACAGTGTCATTTGAAACTGCCGACGGGACGGGTCGCTTGCGCTTCGATCCGCATAATTTCGCCTTTTTAATGGATTTTCAGCGTTAAATTCAAGGTAAGTAAGCTTATTTGACAATTTAATACCTCCACAAACAATCTTCTACGATATTTAAATGGTCCCGAATAAGAAATAACCCATTTAAAAATTGCAAGGTTAAGTTGAATATAGCCGTTTATTAAGCAGATTATTTTACTTTTTAGAGGAGGTGCAGCCTTTATTTGACCAAAAATAACCAACTGAAGATGAAAACAAGGTCCCAGTAAGCATATTGTACCAAATTCCCTTGATAATTGGTCAATATTTGGATTCGAAGAATGGCCTACGTAGAAAATCCTACCTCAATACATGGTGCTACATTTAGAGGAATACCACTTTTTTGGTGTAAGAACCGTTTGTAAAGTATAGATCTGCCGAAAGAAGACTAAATAGTGATCATTTTAAAGAAAAAAACGATAAAAATCGGTCAAGAATGAACGAAGAAGATTCATAGGCCTTTTACCATTCGGGTGAGTGTCTACATAAACCTTACGATACCTACGTAAATTTAAGTAAATGAATAAAAAATCGTTTCAGGAACCTTTTTTGTTGCATAATCTGTAAAAATAAACAAGATTAAGTTAAATAATCCGTTTAAAATTCGTCTAGAAATTTGGAAATGGAAAATGCCAAAACTGTCAAGTGTCAACAGTATCATTTGAAACTACCGTCGGAAAAGATACTTGCGCTTCGATCCGTTTAATTTCGCATTTTAATGGATTTTCAGCGATAAATTCAAGGTAAGTGAGCTTATTTGACGATATTAATACCTTTACAAACAATCTACAATATTTAAATGGTCCCGTACAAGAAATAACCCATTTAAAACATTGTAGGTTAAGTTTCATAAAGCCGCTTTTTAACCAAATTATTTTACTTTTTAGAAGACCTGCAGCCTATATTTCACGATTATTACCAAACTGATGTTGAAAATAAGGTCCCAGTAAGCATATTGTGGTAAATTCCGTCGATTATTAGTCGATATTTGGATTCGAAGAATGGCCTACGTAGAAAATCCTACCTCAATAAATGGTGCTACATTTGGAGGAATACCACTTTTTGGGTGTAAATACAGTTTCCAGAGTATGGATAAGCCGAAAGAGGACTAAGTAAGCGTCGTTTCAAAGAAAAAATGATAAAAATCGGTCAAGAAATAACGGAGAAATGAAACCTAACATTTTTTCCTTCGTTCGAAGAACTACATGGGTTACTTTTATTCAAAAGTATAAGCTGCTTAAATCGTAAGTACTTGATAAAATGTTCTATTAGCACAAAATATCATTCGATTAAGATTGTTTTATACGAAAATCGTAGAAATTTATTGATATTTAACAAAGTATCGAATGTTTTTTTGTTACACGTAGAATAAAAAGGAACATTTAATACTTATAATTTTACCTTATTTTGCAGGATTGACACTAAAAAATAGGAAGTAAATGACTACTAGAAACGTAAAACAAACCACCAACAACAATTAGGACAATATTTTGGATTATTTCTGCGATTTTTACCATTCTTCGAAACAAATTTTACTTCGATCGGAGTATCTTCGGGTACCAGAATAATGTATTTAAAACGTAAGTACTTACTAATCATATGTTAACAAGACAAAATATCATTCGAATGCATTTACTTAAAACAGAAATCATTAAAATTGGTTGCAAAATAACTTGGTAACGAATGATTTTTTGTTATCAGTAAAATTGAAAAGGGCAAATTTGAGTAATTTAGAGTTTCATTGTATTATTTACCCTTTTCTACCTTTTATCAGAATGCTTTTACCTTTAAAATGAATACTAAAAAGGTAAGAATTGAATTTTCTATGAGATTGAACCCTTTTTAATGTTTTTTTTTTTCTATTTTTCAGGATTATTCAGCTGTTTTAAGCCTTATGAGAGAGGATTAGAACTCGATATGACTAGCAATACAGTCAATTTGGATAATTTGGAGTGTTTCCTTGG